TTGGCGCTATACAAATAAAATTGAATTGAATTTGAAATGAGGGAATTTGTGACGACTTGCATTTCCACTTGCACTGTTTACTGTTTGCAATGTTTACTGTAGCTACTGTTAATTTTATACTCTTAATTTTATATATAGTATACATACATAAAACCTTATCTTATCTTTTATCTTATTTTTGATTCTGTTCTTAAGGTCAGGGTTTTTAATTTTAGTTTAATGTATGTTTAATGTATGTTTGTATTTTGTATGCTACTGGATGCTTGAATTTCCCTCGGGATAAATGGTTCATCTATCTATCTAATCTATCTATTATCGGTTATCTATCTACTTACATTCGTTATTTATCTATCTATTTAATCATCTATCCATCCATCCATCCATCACTGTACAGAACATACAAATGGGCAACAAGTAACAATTTGCAAGTTTATTAATACATTACTATGCTGTTAGTGTCTTCGTCAGGCTCACCTGTTGCCACCACCGGGGCTTTGGTGGTTGTAATCATAGTACCGGGGCACTGGGGGTGGCGGGTACGAGCCCTCACTGTAGGGTGACCGCCCTCTCGGTGCAGCGCTGCGGGGGAACATGCTGCGGTTCTTCACACAGCTCCAGCATCAACTCCGCTGATTCCCTGAAATAAATACAACACAGCTGGTAGTGTCAGCAATTAAAGGGAACAACTGCGGCCATCACCCTTACTGAACTCATCCGCCAGCAGCAATGTTGAAGGGGCGAAAAGTTAGTGAGGAAACCGAAACTTATGGCTGATAGGACGACAAAGCGAGCTAACGTTAGCGCGGATCTCAACGCCCTGCTAGCGTAGGTTTATTCAAATATCGGGAACGATTTTATCACAAAAAGGAAATCAGTTTCTCTGCGGATCCGTGTGAAGAGTTCTTCTATAAAAGGGGGGAACTCTGTAACACTTACCAAATAACATGTCACTTGTAAACAAAACTGAAGCAGCTAGTCATGGACCCACGGTGCTAGTTTCCTGAGTACATACTTCCGTATTGATGCCATGACGTAATGGAACTCGATTTAAAGGGGACGTGGTCCTGCTGGTTAAAGGGAGCATCCGCCCAAAAGTAAATAAATAAAGGTTAGGCTACACTGTGCTGTATCAAGGATATTGAACTGGACAGTGAAATCAGTTAAATCCATTACATAAAGACTTGAACTGATGATATCTGTGACTGCCCGTGCAGACTCTTTAACATTTTGTTTAAGGGACTGTATCCAAATGAGTTTAATTTGAATGTAGAGCTTGGAGCTGTGAATCAGATAAGCCCACTTACTAGTGAAATCACCATAGCTGCTGTCACATTGTCCATTATTCATTGTCTGTGGAGCAGCTTCAAAATGTATCTGTAGAGGACATCTTCACTTCAGTCAGTCCGTCTCAGCTGTTTTGCTAAATTTTTCAAATGCACATTTTTAAACTGATTCTATTTTAGGGTTGGTTTAAGTCCACTATTGTGCATCAGTGAACAGCAGGACTGACAGTGATTTCTGTAAGTGGACACTAAATCAACAGATGCAGTTAACAAGAGCCTGTCTGTGAGCCTAGACTCTGAATAATTTATGGTCTTTCATTATTGTCTTGAGTTTTGTTACTGTTACTCTTGCTCTGCGAGTTCTGTGACCCACTTTGACCCACTAGTCCATCATCATTACATTCATTCGTTATGTAAGTAGGCTAACTGAGCTTTTATCATATATGAGTCTCCAGATTCTCTGGTTTGTAGCCTTCTGTTTTTCTAGGTATGACTGACTTAAGCCATGGTATAACATTTCTAAATTGAGTGGTGCCCTAATAGAGTTATTCCCTCACATCCACAAGTTCAGAATTAGATGTGGCCCTAAAATCACCTTTTTTATGACTTGGGTGGAACCAATTAAATAACACAAACTTATAAAACAGCTTGCAGAGACCCATACTAGAAAATATAAATAAACAACAATAAACAATCGCATAAGAAATAAGTACATAAGTACAATTATAACAAATATTCATAAGGGTGCATAATTAGCTTTACGTTATCTTTAAGTCACGCTTTTGGATTTGCCCTATTGCAGGCTGCCAAAGACAATTGATTTATTGACAGCCAATAGCCTAAATAACTCATGGAGCATGAACTGGGTTGATTATTAGAAAATTGTGTTATCTTTCCGAAAACAGTGACATGTTCACTGACTGGACATAATAATACAATACTGCTGCTAGTAGATTCAGACAGGGGAGAGAAATTACATATCACAGCCTTGGAATAACGTTTTCTCTCAGCATATTGTGAGTAGGCCCAACAAACTTCTTATAAAAACAACAGAGCATCAAATGGCATCAGTCCCTTGAGCACCGAGTGACGTCACTGCGGAGGACGGTGTCGTGACGTAGGCAGTTCAATACTGACAGCGAGCTGAG